ATCTATCTATATGGCGCTGGCTAAGATAAGATAACTTTAACAAGATGCCTGTGTGCTTAGTACCAGGTTGTTATTATACCAGCAATGGGTCTTGCTCGTTCTTTTGCTTCCCGTCTGATGAAACGACCAGGAGTGGCTTGATCAAGTTAGCTACCTAGCTAGTAGCTAGCACGTTAGTTAGCATTACAGCCTTGTCATTTTTATTAGCCTTAACATGAAGTAACATTAAGTAACCCAAAATGTTAAACAGTAAGAGTAGTAGTCATATTTCGTGAACCCTTTGAATAGTACTGTCACTAGGGTGACCAGGTCCCAACAAACCAAATGTGGGACAAGGAGTATGTTTGTGTGGGACAATGTGGGACATCTGGTCACCCTAACTGTCACCGGTGTGATCATTCTATAATACACCATTTAATTCCGGGGGAGAAATGCTAACGCTAACGTTAGCATCGGCGATCTTTTCTACTTCATGCTATCTGCACAAATGGTTGACATTAAACATTAAAACGACCAGGCAGTTCAGAGAGAATCAAAGGAAGGCAGGCTTTGCATGACATTCTTCAGGACGTGTTTCATTGTGGTGATAGTCAATCGTTTGTTGACAAGACAGTAGTGACGGCCATCTTGGTGACGTGTGTGGTTGACCAGAGATGTAGTTCATTGAGCCTTTCACACAAACAAATGTGTTACTTCACAGTTTTACGACACATTTTAATTTTTTTGACTTGCAAAATTATCTTTTAAATTGACAAACATCATATGTGTAATTCGTGGCACAATTCAAACGGGATCGAAAGATAATCTTTCTCTCTCCATTGACTTCAATGCATAACTTTTCCGAAATAAGGTCCCATGGGGCTCAACCGGAAGGGGAGGGACTTCGCCACTCTATTATCCCAGTGGTGGCCGCCGGAGTCCACGCCGGCCGAAGCTAACGGAGCCGCAGGGGGCTAGCTCGCTAGCGCGTCCCGGCGGCTCCGTTAGCTTCGGCCGGCGGCGGAGTCCGGCATTATAACTGGAGATCAAGGAATGCAGCGAAACGCAGACTTGGTTCGCCTGCAGCCCGCTGTAGTATTAGCTAAATAAATTATGTTGAACAAGGCTTATTAAGCTGAACATCGCCACAATTGTTCTATGTATCGGTACTTATTTTATTTTATTAACGTGTGAATGACAAGCATTAAACATAACAACAAATAGCTCATTATCTTGCAGATTGTCTCGTTTGATTATGAATGTAACGTTTATATAGTGGAACTACACTGTTTTATCAAAACCAAAGTGCCACGCAGTAACTTGGTATGCATGTATTTCAGCAGGAAATGTGCAACCTAGATGACATTTACCAACACAGACTATATAGAAATATTTGTAAAAGTTGTTCATGTGTTATTAAGTGAATATGGCATTAACCCTCCTGTTGTCTTCGGGTCAAATCTGACCGATTGACTACTTTCATCAATCATAACTTTTTTGTTTTACATTCGATTGCATTCAGGATTTATGATATCCTTCACAGTAGACATTTGAGCATATAAAATTGCTGATTGACCTTGTCGTGGTGAGTGGGCTTTAAACTAAGACGGGTCATACTGAATAGTCTGTGCACACATTTTTAACATGTGATCTTTCTTTCATGTAGGACGCTTGAGGGAAGTTGCAACGCCTCGGCCAATGTGATGTCTTCCCCACGTGAAAGAGATTGAAGGCATAATTTATAACTTGAGACAATTTTCCAAAAGTTATGACTTTTATTGGCTTAGGTAGTAATGGATTACATCCAACACGAATCAAGATCGTATAGAAAAAAAGGAAAGTGTAATCCTTAGTTACATAGGAAAAGATGTAATCGGATTAGTTTGACTTTTTTTAATAATAGGGAAACTCAGGATTACAATCTTATTCAAAACCTGAAAAGAGCATATAGTGTTTGTTGTAAAATGATCAGATGTTCTCTCTTCTCTGGAAGCGGTACTGTTCTGTAGGCTAATACTTTAATTGTGAATCTATACACCTACTGCCTGAGTCAGCTTTATGTATATTATACATTTAAGTAAAAAAATCATATTAATATTTCTTCTCTCCTGTGTTTATTTGCATTGCATTTGATATTGAGGTAATCCAAAAGAAAAATAAAGTTATCAGGTTACAGTACATTACTTTTATATCTTGATACTCACATTAAGTTACTGGTTGCGTTTTTGGCAAGTAGCCCTCCCAACCCTGTACATAAGTTATATCATTTTAATTACTGATACAGTTGTTGCACATCTTTAGTTTATTTTCTAGTGTACTTAAGTCGTACATTTTCAATGTGAAATAGATCGGATTAAATAAAGAGTAAAAGCACAATCTTAAATGTTGACATTTATCATTTTCCTATGCTTATTGTTAATGTAGTGGTGTTAAACAAAATGTTGTCGTAAAGGAAATTAAGATGTTTTTTATTTGTTGACAAAAGATTTAAAGTTGATGCTCACAACATGTGGGAACATTTATTGAGAAAAATGTTTCTATTGTAAAACAAATAATTATCTGCATACTGAACAATTTAGAAACTCTCTAAAAGGTATTATTTTCTGTGATGTTACGACCCTGTAGGGATTGTGGGTATTGCATTTCATAATTACATTCTATGGTATGCTTATGACATATTTGATGCCAAAATACATGGGATTAGGGGAGACCTTCTTGGTGTTTGCATTGTCACTGATAAATGACAAGGTAGTATTCATTGTCAAGATTTTGTGTTTTTAAACTTGGGACTCTTTTCAGACTGCTACGGCTTGGGAAAAGATTTGAGCCTTAATGTGTAATGTTTTCTGTATTGTATGGTTAGCTTATCCTTTCATTTGATAGTCAGATTTGGATGTGATAGCTAACATTTTCAGTAAGCAGTAGACAAAAGAAGTGAAAATATGAATGTGATTTATTTTAAATATTTACAGAATTATTTTAACAAATAAAATAACAAAAAACATAATAACAAATTTAAAAAAAAAGTTTGACAGACAGCCATGCCCAGCATGGGCCTGGAGAGCTACAGAGTCCATTGGGGGGAAGAGGGGGGGTGGGATGTGGGGAAGAGGAAGAGCAGCCATGTTAACAGTGTTATGGCTACAGATGTAATATCTAACTCAACATTAGCCATGACAGTCTGGGCTTAGCAAGGGCCTTAGAAAACATACTCTAAAGGCCAAATCCAAAAACAGTGATACTGACATTTTAGCAGTTCACAGTCTTTGGAGATGGTCTTTCAGGCAATTGGCTAGTGACTTTAAAAAAATATCATTTCCCCTAGGGGTGAAATGAACTCTATCTCGCAAAAAAAAGCCCAGGACTGTCATGTCTAATGTTGGAGTGGTCAACAATGGCACCATTTAGGCTATGAACAAAAGTAGCGATAACACTGTTAACAAACTTCCGGGCCTTGTCAATTTTGACAGGATTTGCACCAGCCCTCCATCGGCACCTCTGGTTGATCTGGGAGAGCATGATCTTCATGCCAGGGTGCCGATGGTGAAGCTGGTGCAGGTCCTCCTTCATCTGATTCACCAAGTGAACACTGGGCACATCCCCCAAGTCGTTGCCGCCACAGTGGATGAGGAGGACATCCAGGGCTGCTCTTCCTCGCAGGGAGTTGGAAAAGAAGGGGAGGAGACCTCTCCAGCGCAGTCCACCCCAACCGAACCAGCAGGCGCGAAGGTCGAGGCCAAGGTTGCTGCCGATGGTCTCTGTAGCTCTCTGGGCTCCACGCCGGACATAGCTGTCCGATTATCCATACAGTCACTATGGGAGGAAAATAAATGAGAGTAACAAATGCTTCAGATAATGAGGAATATCAAATTAAGTATAAAGGGTTGCTCATTTTGTTCCTTTGACAATAACATACAACATAACATATGAAATCACACCTGACGTGTATATATATATATATATATATATATATGTATATATATATAGTATGTTTGTGTGTAATGTCAACCATCTGAAGTCATGTAAAGTAAGCCAGGACCATCAATTTACAGGTTGTGGAGGAGGTTGCCATCTTTTTTTCTTAATGCTGAAAGAAATAAAAATGGTTTAATCAATATAAAAGCGCCTTTCTTTTTCTACAGTCATATTTAATTTATACTCTCACAGCGCTGTTGAAACAGTAACGTTGGATTAAATGTATATACAATTGATGGTCAAAAAGTATAAATATGCAAATTTTGCATTTGTTAGCCCATGCATATTACACTGTTTATATTTGAATCATGGACAAGCGTTTTTAAACTTGTATAGTGTAATATCAAGAACAGTTAAATCATAGGGAAAAGCTTTGTTTAATTCACAATACGCTAATTCCTTTACATACTGTATAGGCCACAGTTTATGGCTAATTCCATAGGCTAATTCACGCAACACTGGCCATATCTCTGCTAGTTTACAAAGTTGTTACAAATGACATTTATATTTGAAAAACGGTGAAGCACTTAAAAAACAATTGTATAGTGTAGGTTCAAGAACATTTAAATCAAAAGGACAAGTTTTGTAAAGTTACAGGGGATCTTACCTTCAGAACGCCGGGAACGAGGAGCAGTGACCGGAAGCTGGGTTGTTAGCTTAATACTGTGAGCATGTTAGCTTAGCTTCTTAGCCTGAGCTAGGTCTGGAACTTCACGGCCGTTGGCAGAAGATCCCGCCCTGTCCCGCCTCGTCTCCGCCACGGCTCCGCCTCTTTGCCCTTATTTGGATCAGGATGTAGCAGGCGGGAGTTAGACTCAGACGTCACTGTCGAGCCGTTAGTGGCCGACTCCGCCTACTAAGGGCTTCTCGGCAACTCTGCAGAATCCTATGGGTGACGTCACGGACCCTACGTCCATTTATATATACAGTCTATGGTTACCATCTGTCATGTTCCTGGTCGATCAGATCCCTTGTCCTGTCTTATTTGTAAGCTACAATATATCATGAAAATGAAACAATCTCTCCCTTCTCTCGTCCAATCACAGCCGAGCCCCTGGTGAGGCAGGTGAGAAGGACTCGCATCAAAAGGGAAGACTTTCATATCCTGAAGGTGATTGGCCGAGGCACATTCAGTGAGGTGAGCAGGAGTGATACTTTTTAAAGTCTCATATTAACATGATCTGATCAAGCATTTTGAAGTATCTGCTTTTACACTCTATTTACCCAAATGTCTTCCTATTTCATGAGCAGTGACAAGGTCTGTTATTAATTTGAAACTTCACGTTCTTCTTAATCGTCACCGCTGCAGGTTGCTGTGGCAAGGATGAGAAGCACACAGCAAGTGTATGCTCTGAAGATCATGAATAAGTGGGACATGCTGAGGCGAGGAGAGGTACACACACACACACACACACACACACACACACACACACACACACACACACACACACACACACACACACACACACACACACACACACACACACACACACACACACACACACACACACACACACACACACACACACACACACACACACACACCTGAGGCCTGTACTACGAAGCCGGATTTTTGCTTAGCGAGCTACCTTCAGGGAAAACTCTGGGTTTCCGGTCCTACAACGCTGGTTCTCTTCTTAGCGGGCTAGATCCCCATGGTAACTTATGCTGAACGGCAAACCTGCTCCGGAGCAGGTTAGGTTCCACGATAAGAGATCAACTCAGTGAAAGCACCGCCTGCTGACCAATCAGAGCTCCGTGTGCGGAGTTTAAAGCTATCAAATCATATTACAGGATAGAGGAAATACAGTTTAGACTGCTGTTGCAGTAGAAAGACGGCCGGCAAAAATCAACTGACTGTGTGAATGTGAACATTAATAGAATATCACCTCCCATCTTCAGAGCAATCTGACTATTATAACATTAGCGTTAAGAAAGCTTACTTAAATATCTGCCACAAGTTAACATAAGTAACCGGATCAAAGTAACATTACGTAGCCTACAGTCCGCGGCACTGTGAGTGCAGACGTCGATGTGTGTCCCATTATCATTCATATCACATCATATCACATCATAATGTAGCCTAGGCCTATCATATATTTCCTTATCTGAGTCAGCTTCTTGAGCCGTATCTGGCCGTGCAACACTCACAGTGTCACATACTGTATGCAGAAGTATTATTTTAAGCAACACATTAAGTTGACGAAACACTCGAGTCAAATGTCCTAATTAAAGTCAGATCCACTCGTGTCTTAGACGGGGCAGTGATATCATAAACCTGTTAATGTACGCATTCAAACACTTTTTCTTTTACCAGCTGTATTCACTTTGCAGGTGCAGCTATGTGGCTTTTATCCTGGATAAAGTGTTTAAGTCATGGATGTTTAAAGTTTAACGTCTTCATATTTGTCTAATATTATAGTTCACTTTTCATTCAGGAAGTATGACGCTGCGCTGTCAGTGCGCTTCTCCATGTTTGTGATTGGTCAAATGTTGCTAACCCCGCCTCTTTTATGTGAACGCGCACATAGGGCAAAACTGGCTTGAGTTAACGAGTTGATAACCAGCGTCGTAGGACCGCTTAGCGAGAGCGCGTTTGTTTTGGATTAGGTAAACCGGGTAACTCAAACATATCCAGGTTATGTTGAACCGGCTTCGTCGTACAAGCCTCTGCTCTCACATTCACAAGACAAAGAATATGTGCTGTTTTCTCACTGCAAAGGCTGGGCTTAGATGAATTACTTACGAAGGGAAAGTAAAAGTAAAGCACATGGTGAAACTGTCCATGATTTGTTTTGTGTCTCAGTGGGACAATTATTTGGATATCTGTCTTTCTACTTGAAGCCTTTGTGTTTGTGTTTTACATAGACAGCGTGTTACCAGGAGGAGAGGGAGGTGTTACTCAGGGGCGACCGATGCTGGATCACAGAGCTGCACTATGCCTTTCAGGATGACAACTACCTGGTGCGTATGAACATACATGATGTCAAGTATATATGTTGTACTTGTACTGCTAGCATATTCTGCTTTTAACAAAACTTCTGCTGCTATTTTCCAACACATCCACCCTGTCCTCCCTCAGTACCTGGTGATGGATTACTATGTAGGGGGGGACCTGCTGACTCTGCTCAGTAAGTTTGGAGACCGGATCCACGAAGACATGGCTCAGTTCTACTTGGCTGAGATGATCATGGCAATTGACTCCATCCACAGACTGGGATATGTACACAGGTACACTATTCTTCTCCTTAAACTAGGGACTATTTGTCGATGGGATCACACCAGCAGCTATGCCAAATTGGGCCACAGGGGCATCAAGTTGTTCCACACTTTTTCGCCCTTTCTGAGACCACACCCATTTCTAGACTTGGTCCTAATCTTGATCTTAACTGCAAAACGGTTAATTTCTGTGATGCCAAATCAGGCCTGGGACTTTAAGACTACACACTAACATGAATGCACTCTATCCTGGGACTGTGACATGGAGGTAAATAATGTGATATCAATTAAATCTGACATTTAGAGATAACAATGGCCCGTTCTTCCCAATTCCTTACACAGAGACATCAAACCTGACAACATCCTGCTGACAGCGGATGGACACATACGACTAGGGGACTTTGGTTCCTGTCTGAGGCTCCTCGAGGATGGGATGGTGAGGGTTGACACTTTCTTAGAAGTTTCACAAAAGATACCCTAAAGAGGGTAAAAGAATGACAAAAATCCAGCATATCATGTTAAAACATTTGTTCTTGTAAGTGAATTTTTAAAACAACAAAACAAATTGGAAATTCTGGCCATGACCTTATACATTTGTATTTAAAATCAATTGGCCTGCTTGTTTCATTTCAGGTTCACTCGTCACTAGCAGTAGGGACCCCTGACTATTTGTCTCCAGAGATTTTAAGGGCCGTAGAGGGGGCTGGAGGTTATGGTCCTGAATGTGACTGGTGGGCTCTGGGTATCTGTGCCTATGAGATGATGCTGGGGACCACACCCTTCTTTGCAGAGTCCATCTCGGAAACATACGCAAAGATCATCAACTTCCAGGTACATTGACACGCTGACAAAATTATTTCAGATTTCATTATTTATAAATATTTATATTTACCTGATCTATATATTGATTTTATGGCTTTGATGAAAACTTGATTATGATAGTCAAATAATGCATTCTATGAGTATTTCTCTAGCAGACCGCTGGAGAACATTGCCTAGTTGCAGTTGTCTGAAAATAGCGTGAAAAATATGTTTTAGCCAAAGCAATAAAATAATTTCTAATTATATAAAATCATTTTCAAATCAGCCTTTGGTTTTGATTCTTTAGTAAGTAGCCTGGTGATAAGAGGGGGACATTTATGGCTGCATTTCCACCACACGGTCGGCCTCGGCCTCGCTCGGTACTGCTAGGCCGCGTTGGGCCTTGTTAGGGCCGGCTCACTTCATGCTGCGCTTCCATTACAGTTTAGGAACTGGAGTAGTTACTATAGTAACGCAGTGTAGGCGGAGCCGTGACGTCATCTTCAATGAGAACCCCAGAAAAACAACACAGCCGTTAGCTTTTAGCACTCAAGCTCACAGCTCCTCATATCTGTTCAGAAACTAGACAAAAGTTAAACAAGTACAAACCACAGACTGTCTGTGTCATGGCGAATACAGTCGCTGGTTTATTTATGTCTGTATAGGCCGTTGTTGTGAGTGTGGACGGTCGGAGCATATATTGCGTTAGCTTAGCCAATCTCCATCTAGAAAACACGCATTTTTAAGTCTGCAGACTTGTCAAAGCATTAATTCATGGTTTTTACTAACCGGTATTAGTATGTTGTTACTTCGGCATCATTTTGAAACGTGTATTACAATTAAATCACGGTCAAATATGTTCATCTTGTTGTAGTTGTAGCCCCCTTGCCAGCGATTCTCTCTCTAGTTTAGCAAACTCAGCCCTGTTTGTTGGCCCCGATAGAACCACGATTTTGTCGGGCCAGAAAAGAGGTGAAAAAGTACCCCCGGGCCGGAACTAGGCCTAGTGGAAGCGCAACCAAAAACGGGCCCGGCACGACACGGCACGCTTAAACTGCGCTCCGCGCCATGGTGGAAATGCCCCATTACAGAAACTGGGTAATTTGGAAATGTACCTTTTCAGGATGATTCAAAACTGTATTTTGAAAACAGTGAAAGCATTTTTAAGATTGTGTAGTACAAGCTCAATAACAGAAATCATTATTTCAAACTTACCTTAAGAAATGTCAGATGGGACAGCATACTGCCTGTGAGCAACAGACCACGAGCTAACCGGCTAGCAACGCAGAGAAGCATTTCCTACCATGTAAGACTAAGCTAGCTAGTAGCTTTGAGCTATAGGTGGCCATGGATTTGGAAAGAGCAGGCAAGAGTAAGACTTCCTTAAAACCCTTTTGTTTAGCAGTAGTTATACTACTAGTGGTATCAGAAGAAGTGATGTAATCAAAAGACATTTTGAAATGTGTCTTCCTCATCTTCTTCCCCAGGAGTATTTCGAATTCCCTTCTTCTGGCCCTGAGATTTCAGACAAGGCTCGTTCCTTCATCACTGGGCTCATCTGTGAAAGGGAAGTCCGTCTGGGAAGGAAAGGCTTCAGTGACTTCAGGAGCAATCCCTTCTTCTGTGGACTGGACTGGGCTTCCCTGCATAAACTCCCAGCCCCCTTCCTGCCTGAAGTGTCTAATCCAACGGACACCTCCAACTTCGACATCCTGGATGACTGTCTCAGTGAAATGGTATTGTCTTTAGAGAATGTTTCCATACACTTATGAAGAGACCTAGGTTGTGTCGGAAAGAAAGTGTAAGACATGTTATCACGCTGAGAAACCTGGTAAATGGTCCACCCTTAATAATCAACCCAGTCTCACGGCATTTTGTGTTATAGTCACGACATTTAATCTATTGATTCGTGTTCACCAACACGATTTTCCCCTTTTTTTCGTGTCACACAGAACGATTTTCAAAGCAATGTATTTCTATTGGTAGTATGTTTCGTGCCTGCACCACGTCTTTTTGTCCGGTTGGGTCTTGGAAGACCGGAAGCTGTGTGGTTCATAAAAACATTTTCTTACTCAATATCAAGCCACGATTATTGTTTTTATTTTAAATCGTATAATGTCGGACTTTTTTTGCCATCCGTGAGGAAAATAAATGGGGCTCAGAGCCTCAGAATACGGAAATCAGTATTTTTTCAATCTTTTTTTCCTTCTAATTTGTTATTCTTTTCTAAATAACACACTGTTATTTACTCAACAATAACACACAATTCTCCTTGTTTTCATTTATTTGTTTAATTCTATAATATCGGGCTTTTTTGCCGTCCGTCAGGAACTGATTTTCAAAATAAAGTCACCGGAAACAGACGTAGGCGATACACACCCACTGAACTGATTACCCAAGATCCTCAGCTATGGTGGAAGCTCGGTGATTGGACGTTTTTGTACATACAAAATAGGGGGAAAGTAGAAGGTCAATGATAGAAATATAGAATATAAAATATCAAGAAGATACTGTAAGTGATCTCTACAATAAAACAGTTTAGTGCCGGATGTACAAAGATATTAATATGAGGATGTGCAAAACAGAAAAACGAATTAACCTTTATTTAAACATTAAAGAATACTTTAGGTTAAGGTCTTCTTTTAAATAAGAAAAAAGCTTTGGGGGTATCTACAGATAAATATTAAGCCAGACAAAGTACTTAACGTCTAATATATTGCTTTCCTGCAATGTTAACTATGTTGAAGCACTTATTTTAACTGATATTATACATCAATCAATTATTTATATAGCCCAATATCACAAATGTTACATTTGTCTCAGTGGACTTCACAGTTTGTACAGAATATCAGTATGACAATACGACACCCTCTGTCCTTAGACCCTCACATCGTACAAGGAAAAACTTCCGGAGAAAACCCACAGTTTAAAGGGGAACATGGGAGAAACCTCAGGGAGAGCAACAGAGGAGGGATCCCTCTCCCAGGACGGACAGAAGTGCAATAGATGCCGTGTGTACATTGAAAAGATAATACATTTGCAACATAGGTAGTCCAAATGTTTGGAAATGCATGTGTCTATAATAAGAAGATGAATCCACGAGGATATCCATCCAGGACTTATGATCCAGGACCACAGCAGCAGGCACAGCCACGACTCAAGATCCAGGGCTCGCGATCCAGGACTCAGGACCACAGCAACAGGATCAGCCATGACTCCGGATCCCGGCGTATATAGACACCAAAAATAAATTTGGGGAAGCTGGGTTATTCGGAACATGAGAGTACACAGGTACAGACAGAGAGAAGGAAGAAGTAAGGTGTCCCCCGACAAACTAAGCCTATAGCAGCAAAACTAGGGGCTGAATCTAATCAGCCCTAACTATAAGCTTTATCAAAAAGGAAGGTCTTAAGCGCACTCTTAAAAACGGATAGGGTGTCTGCCGCCCGAACACAAACTGGAAGCTGATTCCACAAATGTGGATCTTGATAAGAAAAGGCTCTGGCTCCCATTGTACTTTTAGAGACTCTAGGAACAACCAACAACCCTGCATTCTTGGAACGCAATGCCCTAGTAGGACAGTAGGGTATAATGAGTTCTTTAAAGTGGACCTATCATGCTATATTTGAATAATATAGTGTAGGACCATACCTATATAAGGCATATTTATACTTTTTTTTTCTTCAAAATACCAAACAAATCATGCATTTTAGCCATGCCTCATTTCGCTCAATTTGACATTTTTTAGCTCTGTTTTTGCAAGGGCTGATTCTGTGAGAACAGCACCACCTACAGGCCTGGCATATGTACTACAGCGTCTCCAGTGCTTTCGAACGGCAATGGCCGTGGCTCTCTCCTCCTGATTGGTGGAGTTGGCCCAATAGCCGTAGCGCCACTGTCCTGACGTCAGGACAGTGTTCAAATCTGGATCAGTTTTTATCAGATCCGTTGCAGCCCCTTTTTTAGAGATTTGGGTATGGAGGAAAATAGAGAGGGTTGTGTTTTCTGACACTTGGTGAGTTCCCTGGAACACCGGGGACACATATTCATGTATAAAAGACGTACAAAAGTGCATTTTGCATGATAGGTCCCCTTTAAGGTAAGATGGCGTCTGCCCATTAAGGGCTTTGTAGGGGAGAAGAAGAATTTAAATTATATCCTGTGTTCTATAGGGAGCCAGTGTAAGGCAGCCAGAACAGGAGTAATGTGGTCCCTTTTCCTAACTCTGGTTAGTACACGTGCTGCAGCATTTTGAATCAGCTGAAGCAATTTAACTGACTTCTTGGTACACCCTGATAATAAAGAGTTACAATAATCCAGCCTTGAAGTAACAAATGCATGGACTAGTTTCTCTGCATCGTTTTGAGGCAAGATATGCCTGATTTTTGCAATGTTATTGTAGATGGAAGTAGGCGGTCCTTGAAATTGATTTTATGTGGGCGTTAAAGGATAAATCCTGATCAAATATAACACCAAGATTCCTTACAGTCTCACTGGAGGCCAAATTAATGCCATCCATAGTTAGTATATCTTTAGATAATTTGTTTCGTAGATTCTTTGGGCCGAGTATAATAACTTCAGTTTTGGCCGTGTTTAACAAATCAAAAAGTTTAAGGTCATCCACGTTTTTAAGTCCTTGAGGCATATTACATATTAATTATACTCTTATAAGATGTATGTAGATAGAATAAGAAATGTGCAGAATATGACAGTCTAATGGTGGAGGTAAACACATATTGATAGATGTCTTGTAATGCACTGTTGAGGAACCTGCGACCCAAGTTTTTCATTCATTGCATAACTACACCGTAGTTGTGTATATGATATGTCAATAAACCTTAGAAAATCTTGAAATCTTGAAAGGGATGTGCAAAATAGCCATTATATACAGTCTTTAATTAACTAATAGTAGAGAATAACGAGTAATGAATATGCTTTATAGGGATCTGCAGATAAATGTTTAGTCTTCTCAAGCACCAACTATCAAATATCTCGCCTGATTGTTGGCACTTGACAATCACCTTCCCTGAATTTTACTCAGGTGTAACTAAAGTCTGATTTAAGGGTTGTTTATATTTCACATCATTAATCAGAATCTGCAAAGTAACTCAAATAAATGTAGTGGAGTAAAAATACCAGGTTAACCTCTGAATTGTAGTGGAGTAGAATAACAACGAGCTGTCATGTGGGTATATATTAATGCTGCCCATTATGGACACAAGCCATTTTCACCCATTTATTAATTATATGTTTTAAATGTGATAACACCACTGTGTTTCTTATCCCCTAAACCTCCAGGGGTGTACACAGTTTAATACTGGCAACTTCTAATTGTGGGAAAAACGAAAACGTCTTTTAAAACTACAATTCCCAGTAGAGACGTGCCATAGAACATGTTGCGAAACACAATAGCCAGCATGTGTAGTTCTGGGGGGGGGGGCTGGACCTGTTCGAGTCCAGTTTTGGATAGTCTGCCGTGGTTTCATTCCATTTCATAGAGCTGTTTGACGCTCGGCGTAACCTTGGCACACTGCCACTCCAACATCCAATCACAGAGCTTGAAGATTAATCACAGGGTTTGTCCAGCAAAGGGACTGTAGCATGGATGTATAATAAGAACTGGATACAGCGTGGGAGGCGGGGCCTCATTCATTCCTATGAGAGTTGCTCATTCGCGCATGATGATAAAATGGCCCAACTTTTGAGAGAGCGAAACGTCACAGATTACCCGGCATGCCTGAGAAGTACCCGTATGTGCGCTCATAGCGCATGCGCAACTTTAACCATGCCCCCCAAAATGCTCGTTCACATCAAGCACGTCAATTTGCGTACACGTAACAGCACCGCACGTTCATGACAGCATGGTAATAGGTTGTTATTATGATAGATTTGATATTAACGAGGCGGCAGTTAGCAGCTAGCGGTTAGCTAGTAATTATGCTAATTTACACATCAATCGTTATGTACTTTTATATTACGCTGTAACAGGATCTAGTGATATCCAAGCAACAGAGCTTCATTTAGCATGAAAGAATTATTGCACTGTATATATATATATATATATATATATATATATATGTATATGTATGTATATATATATATATATATACAGTGCAATAAGCTTCTTAGTGCAATAAGAAGCTACTGTACAGGGACGTTAATCTACGTCGGTAATATTAACTTTATTTAATACAACATTTACGGTACAAGATTTAATCATACAGCCCATGTAGTATAATATTTTACAAATGATGAATTACAGCAAACATGTGCAATATATCCATTATTACAGCTCCGTGGGCTGGCAGTAAGGCGATATGGGTCCGTTCTTATTGTGCATCCATGGGTAAAGATAAACGCATGTAGTGCTGAACCTTTATATATACAGTCTATGTGCTGAACACGTAACATGAACGTGCCGGGCGACGCGGTCCCGTGGGTTAGATGCGCGTTCATAATGCAGAGGGAAATAACTCACAGAATAACGTTATTAGCACATTTTTACAACTTGAGGAACCAATGTTTTTAATAAGGGCTATACAAGTGTTCATACTGGGTAGTTTATTTAGTTTAAAAAAAATTATCCAACGATTTACAGACCACTCTTTCCCCATGTAAGTCAGTAAGTGTTTCCGGGCCTGGCAACCAAAAGGAAGTGTAGTACCGCCGTTTGGCCAGCACGAATATTTTCATCTGAGTCCGGCGCACTTCCTGGGGGCTTGGACTGTAGTCCCAAACGATAGCTGAGGATTATGGGTAGTGTAGTGTCTTCGGCCATCCTAAACAGCGAAAAAACTATTTGTTTCTCCGAATCGAAGGGGGAAAACACAAAAGCATTGTACATAATTTAAACCAATCAATGTTGTGTAATTAACAAGGATAAACTGATGTTTTTAGTTGATGAGTACTGCAGATTACTATGCAAACTTCGAGACCGGAAATACTGTTTTCACCCCAAGCAATTAGGCTTGTTTGAGACGAGCTGCGGCTCGCCTCGAAAGTAGACGAGAATAGCCGATCGCAGCCGGGGGAGGTCTCAAAAAGCTCGCCTGAAGTCGGACAGCTCGGAGTCGGCTTCTTCCTCTTCTTCTTCTTCTCTCGGTTTTTTGGCGGATTGCAAACAACTTTAAGGTGCATACCGCCACCTCCGGAGTCGGCTTGACTCGGTTTGCATTTATAAAGAATGCACAAATGTGTTTAATCGTTAATGTCAGATATGTACTAAGTAAATACATTTGTTCCTGCTCAAGATTAGATTCAACTTTATTGTTATTGCACAGATTACAGGTACTGAGACAACGAAATGCAGTTTAGCTTCTAACCAGGAGTGCAAAAAGCAGTAAAGTGAAAAGTAATGTACACAATCTACAGAATAAAATATAGAATGAATTGAATGATGAAAAAACAGTGAGGGGTATGAATACACTAGATATACACAGCAGCCTGTGAGCAGTATGAACAGTGTGTATGAATACACTAGATATACACAGTAGCCTAGCCTAGTATGAACAGTTTGTTGTATGAATATGCTAAGATATATAAAGTATGACAACGGTAAGCAGTGCAAGTATAGTATAAAATATATAGATATTAATTTAATGATGATAAACATTCTGGAACAATGATGAAAAATGTGAATGGAAGTGGCGACGTAAAACTGACACAAAACAACAACAAACTTTTGCCGAGCCAATGGAGAGCTTCATCCCCAGCACGGGGTAAAAACCACCAATGAGCGCTCAGCTCGAGATACCAGCAAGTCGTTTCCCATCAAGCATTTCGCTTCCGCAGCCCGTGGAGAGAAACTGCGCCGCCTCGCCGCGCCTCGCTCTCAAGTCTGCGGGCGTCTTTGTCCCGCGAGATTTCAACGTCTCATGTAGGCGAGCCTCCAGAGCAAGTCGGACAAAATGACTAACCATCATGCAACGCACTAGCAAGACGTTGATCGCAATTGCGCAGGTCTGCGCAGGTCTCGCTTGTCTCAAACAAGCCTAATCTGTTGATAGTTATTTCATATCGCATTAACACCATATCCCAACGTGCATTGCGGCTAAAACATCCAATCACCGAGCTTCAACCATAGCTGAGGATCTTGGGTAATCAGTTCAGTGGGTGTGTATCGCCTACGTCTGTTTCCGGTGACTTTATTTTGAAATTCAGTTCCTGACGGACGGCAAAAAAGCCCGATATTATAGAATTAACACTAGAACTGCCAACCGGGTCAATTTGACCCAGAGCTGTTTTCTTTTGTGTGTAACTTTTTTCAATAAAATATTAAAGTCTTCCAGTCCGTGACTTTTCCTGAAAGTGTGTTATGTAGCACCCTATGTTGTTAAAAATGGTCAATATGAAGTCAGATTGAAGAAATCGCCCCAAAAATTGCCATTTATACCTATTTCCGCCAAGCGGGTCATATTGACCCCACCCCTTTTCATATAAACATGACGTGTTGCTATAGCAACGCCTTTTGTCTACTGCGGTTCCTTATAGATTGAGAGATAGATTGAGAGAGAGAGAGAGATAGATGGATAGATATATTGATAGATAGTTATAGATAGAGAGAGAGAGAGAGAGAGAGATAGAGACAGTCTGTAGTGAAGGAGTGCGCTCCCGCTCACGGGAGACTGCTCGCGCTGCGCTCCGCAGCAAACAGCTGTGGGGCGAGTTGAAAGTATGTTATGCTGGCCGCGGTGTCTAAATAAAGCTTCCGGGCCAGCGGGCCATTTATAATGTCGAGCCCTGAGAGTCCACAGATTATATTGGTATACGTTTCATCCCTGTGCGATCAAAACTCACTGTTCAATAAAATAATATTTTACCTTGAAAATCAATGCATTCTAATAGCGGGTCAATTTGACCCAGGTGGCGGTTTTAGGTATAAAAAATCTCTGGCGGTTCTAGTGTTAAACAAATAAATAAAAACAAGCATAATTGTGTGTTATTGTTGAGCAAATAACAGTGTGTTATTTAGAAAAGAATAACAAATTACAAGGAAAAAAAGATCTAAAAAATACTGATTTCAGTATTCTGAGGCTCTGAGCCCCATTTATTTTCCTCACGGACGGCAAAAAAAGTCCGACATTATACGATTTAAAATAAAAACAATAATCGTGGCTTGATATTGAGTAAGAAAATGTTTATGAACCACACAGCTTCCGGTCTTCCAAGACCCGACCGGACAAAAAGACGTGTTGCAGGCACGAAACACACTAATAGAAATACATTGCTTTTAAAATTGTTCTGTGTGACATGAAAAAAGGGGAAAATCCTGTTGGTGAACACGAATCAATAGATTCAATGTCGTGACTATAACACGAAATGCCGTGAGACTGGGTTGTAATAATAGTATATAGCTGTAGGTAAGCATGCAGGTTTTACCTCAGGTAAAAAAAGTCTGACCTAAAGCAATCGTCTGGGTGTATGCATGATTTCAAGCAAGCTATTTAGATGTATGGGACATATTTATTAGCAGTATGTTATGTACACTAAGCCAGTGTATTTAGACAATCCCGTTTAAGTTAGACAAAGAATGAGGGACAGGGGATTTACTGGAAATATTTTTTAGTAGTTGTCCGGTCGACCTTACACTTGATGGGTATATAGCTGAGGACCCAGGGAGAATGCCGTGTTAAATGTGAAATTTTAAGGATGAGCGCTTCTCAGGCACGTTGTAAACAAGTGCTTTATTAGCGAACAAATGTTGCCTTAAACACGACTCAGTTCAACTTCTAACAAAACAACACCAGCTGGTTATTTGTATCTGTTGTGTCCTGCAGGAGACGCTGTCTGATGTAATGGACAGAGCTCCAATTGGGGTGCACTTGGCTTTTGTTGGATACTCTTACACCGCAACCTGGTAAACTTATTTCATGGTTGATGCTTTGTGTGCATCCAATGAGTATAACCGGCTTTTTAGAAAGAATCTGATTGCGGAGTTACCTGAATATTCTACAATTGCTCTCTCTTTTATAGTCAGACGGGTGCCATCGACCGCAGTCTAGACATCATGATGCAGATTGACCACTCAAGTCTCAGGGACTGTGAGAGCCGTTACACACCGGAGAAACTGGTGAGACATCATCCCCCTGAAGTCTTTCAGAAGGACCCTTTGTCTGTTGTCAGGTTGCACCAGTTAACTTACAGTGTATGCAGCATTGATATAACTGTACTTTCATATGATCATAAATATTATTCAGTATGTTTTCCTCATTGTGCTGGGCCTTATTTGGTTTACCCATGGTTCGAATGCAGAGTCAGCAGTGGCAGCTCACAGACAATCTGCCAGATGAGCTGTCTGCATTGCTGGAGCTTCCACTCACTTTAGAGCAAGATCCAACTGCATCCACCCACACCACCACTGAGGAAGAGGAGGAGGAGAATGAGGAGGAGGATGTGGAGGAGACCGACCAAATATCCGGACTCCATGAAGACTTGCAGAGGTATCAATTGATACTAATACCCTCATTGCCCAATCCATAGACTAAACTACTTGGAGCAGTTGAGTCCCAATTATTTGTAATCAGTACACTGAAAAAACCGAAACATTGACACTAATTAAATGTATTATCTCAACAATATTACATTACATTAATAATAATACAATATTTGTATTAGGTTAGTTGAAAGCAATAATGTTAAGTTTAAATAAAAAAAGATTAGGTTCATCTTCAAGGTCCCATGTCATGGCCATTTCTACTGATCATAACTCCATTGCTGAGGTACACTAAAATAGATTTATATTGTGCAATTTTCCAAACTCACATTGGTTTCTCATACAGCATCTCTGTAAAGTATGTGTATTCACTCTCCTAAACGGCTTGTTGGAGCTCCTGCTCCTATTATCATTTGAACAATGACAAATACTCTCATGAATATTAAACACAACAACCTCTGAACATTACAAATATTCGCCTCAATTCAACCTGGAACCTCTCTCATACAATAATACAATACAAAGTGTGTGTGTGTGTGTGTGTGTGTGTGTGTGTGTGTGTGTGTGTGTGTGTGTGTGTGTGTGTGTGTGTGTGTGTGTGTGTGTGTGTGTGTGTGTGTGTGTGTGTGTGTGTGTGTGTGTGTGTGTGTGTGTGTGTGTGTAAATATGGAGACACTGTGATGGATCGTTGGAGCTATGTGCAGCTCAAGGCATATATGCTCGAACGGGAGCTGCCTGGACGCTGCAATCATGTTGCGCGCACTATCCGTGCTGAGTGTGCTGACTTTTCGTACAATGTCCCACTGTCTGGCTACCTGCATAAAGTCAAGTGCTCGGCGCAGTTGTCGGCGTAATGTCGCTCCTCTGTTTCCATTGAAACAGCTCCTTATATCCGTTAGCGCAGCTAGCTAGCACCAGATGCTAACAACAACAACACGTAAGGTGTGCCTCGCTCGCGCCACACATACACACACCCTCCCGGTCCTCCAGTCCGGGCCTGCCGGTGAGCGTGGAAGTGTGGTCTGCCACAAGCGGGCGGCAGGAGCGGGGCTGTCAGCATCAGCTTGTAGATGGTATTTTAAACTCGATGTGCTCTGAAACTACGGGGCGGCCGAGGACAAAAAATACACATGCGTTAATCGCGTTAAAATAATTAGTGGCGTTAAAAAAAGATTGCGTTAACACGTTATTAACGCGTTAACTTGACAGCCCTAGTAATAACCAGAAAAGCATGACATGGGACCTTTAATAATATTGCTTTCCATAGTGCGTCCACTGGGTCAGGGAGGGAGGGGGTGATGTCAAGGTGCCTTAGATATATTTAGTGGGCACAGGTTCTCCTCAGCCTGGAAGGTTTTTCAGGTTTAATCAATTTAAGTTAATCATTCATCTGGGAGTAATGTAGACAATACCTCATCGCTGTGTTATTTTCTTCTTTTGTACCATGTGTTGGTGCCCTGGTAGTTAGATTTCTATAACTCTTTGTCATTGTATTGTCTCTTAGCACTGCTATAAGCAACCTGGTCTCACCAGAGTGACTCCACCACGACTCCTTAACACCGCAGTGCGTGGTGGAGTCACGCACTCTGCTACATTTATGTGTCGGCACCACGCAAACAACCCCAATGTAAAGTGAATGAGGCTCCTTTGTCGTGGGTCACACACGCATTTCTACAACGTCCAGCAGTGAGCTTTTATTCTATAAAACGTTTTTAAAATCTACTGTATAGCTTGTAGTAACTCACGGGAGGCTTCTTTTATTTTATTTGTATTCATAATCATTTTTATTTTTCGTCAGAATGTATTATGGTGCATTATTTACCAATTTTTGTTCTCAAAAAACAGTGCATTGTGTGTAATACAACTGTGATTTTTATTAAATTAGTTAGTTTTTAAGGAAGGCCAGAGCTTCAGCTGTGTCAAATAGATTGTTCCCTTTAGTTAACGTTATTTAAAAGATAATTATATTCCTATTTGATCATGTCCCCTTTATTGTATTACGGACGCAGAGAGCAATGTGAGCGTCCATTCCCATTGGATAACGGAGGATTTTACACCCAGAAGTAAGTATTCTCCTTACTGTCGATTGATTTTACAGTGATATCTGCACTACTGATCAACTCAAAAACACCAGATTATCCTTGTTAATTACACAACATTGATTGGTTTAAATTGTGTACAATGCTTTTGTATTTTCCCCTTTCGATTCGGAGAAACAAATATTTTTTCTGAGTTTTTGGATGGCAGAAGACACTACACTACCCAGAATCCTCAGCTATGGAATTACACCATGTGCTTAGAACGTGATATTTGTAACACAAAAGCGATGTAAAAAACCCACAGCAACACAGAAAAGATGGTCTTAACATGACCCAGCGGTCTAGTAGTTAATAAAAAACAATAATATCAAAACAAATTATTACTACTAACTTTATTGTGAAATTAAAACAGAACGGTAAAAGAATAGTTTCCGGTCTATTCTGAGGCCCGATCTCTGTAGATAAATAAAGAACTACGACAGATGTGTAATATTTAATGCAGCCAAACCATTTATTACAATGCATTCATGTGATGACTTTCAAAGAGTAAAGCAAGCACTGCTGAATAAAGTATGATTTTATCTTTTACTAAACGTTTTTTTTCATATGGAATGCAGTTGGAGGTCAACCAATCACAGAGCTTGAGGCAAAGCGGAACAATAGCTGAGGATTCTGGGTAGTGTAGTGTCTTCGGCCATCCTAAACTCTGAACAAATATTTGTTTCTCCGAATCGAAGGGGAAAATTACAAAAGCATTGTACACAATTTAAACCAATCAATGTTGTGTAATTAACAAGGATAATCTGGTGTTTTTGAGTTGATCAGTAGTGCAGATATCACTGTAAAATCAATCGACAGTAAGGAGAATACTTACTTCCAGGTGTAAAATTGTCCGTTATCCAATGGGAATGGACGCTCACATTGCTCTCTGCGTCCGTAATACAATAAAGGAGACATGATCAAATAGGAATATAATTATCTTTTAAATAACGTTAACTAAAGGGAACAATCTATTTGACACAGCTGAAGCTCTGGCCTTCCTTAAAAACTAACTAATTTAATAAAAATCACAGTTGTATTACACACAATGCACTGTTTTTTGAGAACAAAAATTCGTAACTAATGCACCATAATACATTCTGACGAAAAATAAAAATTATTATGAATACAAATAAAATAAAAGAAGCCTCCTGTGAGTTACTACAAGCTATAAAGTAGATTTTAAAAACGTTTTATAGAATAAAAGCTCACTGCTGGACGTTGTAGAAATGCGTGTGTGCACCACGACAAAGGAGCCTCATTCACTTTACATTGGGGTTGTTTGCGTGGTGCCGACACGTAAATGTAGCAGAGTGCGTGACTCCACCACGCACTGCGGTGTTAAGGAGTCGTAGTGGAGTCACGCATTCTGGTGAGACCAGGTTGGCTATAAGCTCTAAATCCCTGGATTTTCTGTGTAGTGTAGGTCCATGCTTTAAATTTAGCACTGACTTCTGCATTAATCCAATGCTTATCATTTGGGAATCTCCGCACAGTATTTCTGGCTACAACGTCACTCCATATTGACAATTCAATGACAAAGAGTGAGTGTCTGATCCAACACACCAGCACTGGATGGTTTCAGAGATCTGTTGGTCATGCTTAACTGTCAAGCAGAGCTTACTGTAGATGTGAGCTCTATTGACACATACACTGTGGACGGTGCCCTTGTGGGGTACTTTGATGTCAGTGGTAGAGAGATGAATAGGTGTAAAGTGTTTGGGCTGCAGGTCTCAGGATCAGGTATCCATCCAGGGAGAAACTCTGGAATCATACAGCTTGAAAAACTATTTTTATGTCATATATATATTTATTATTTTAAGCAATTACTTATTCAACTGCTTGTAAGAAAAAAATACTGTTAGAAACATTCGCAAACTAGAAAAAGTACAGGTATAGGTCAACTATATATATTTTACCCTTCAAATTAAATATCCATTGCAGAGGCATTACATCATCCCAACCCAACTTGAGAAATAAAACAACAACAATAATAACATGTGATGAAACTCACAGTCTTCCTTCTTTATCCACCAGGCGGTTACAGGAGGCAGAGAGGAGATATTGTGAGCTGGAGAAAGAAATGGAGAGGTTGAAGGGGGAGATGCAGGACTGGAGAGCCCCCAAGGAGACAGGCAAGGGATCAACAGCCCTGCTTCCTCTTCACACCATCATCTTCATCATCCTCTGTTCCGCTCTGTTTCACTTTATATTGTATGCAGTCATGCCATGACACCACAGGGACCAATAGATTTGAACACTGCAAAGAACACATTCATGAAATTGCAATCATTATATGACAATGAATCATAGTATTACTGTAAAGCTACACATGGGGATGTTGGAACTGTAAATTACATTAAAAGTCATGGCCATATATAGGTAGACATGTCGTTTTTGTCAAGATCAAATTTAAAAATCTGTTGCTTTCAGAATGCCAGGTATTTCAGTAACATGACCTAATCACACAGACATCAACATGACTCAAGTACTACTTTACAGTCCTGAGTCTCTTAAGAACAACATAAATGTGAGGTGGAGCGAGTTCCAAACAATATGAGCAACTCTGAATAAACAGACGGCTTCACAGTGCTGGCAGCATCTGCTTATATTGGAGCGCTCAGTCAGAACATGGTGATAAATACCCACTCTAAGAATAGCCTTGGTATGCATGAACTTGAAAGCCCCTTTCCATAAGTCAATACGGTGTCATGAGCTTTTTAAAGAGGCAGCGGTGAGGGTCTTCCTGCTGCTGGGCTAATGGATGACAGTGCCATGAAAAATGACCAGAACTCCTGTTGTTGCAAAGCCATGTGGAAAAATATCACATGCCTCGCTCCATGTGTGACGATAAAAAGGCTTTCTTCACTTCAGCTGCTGTTCTCTCCATCACTTCTGTCCCTCCATTAACCTGCACACCGTCGTCCTTTCATCATCACAGAGATGTACTGTTTTCTTGTTTTGTTCTTTGTGTTATTACAAATCTGGCTGGCCAGCAGTGCACCCAAAGGCTGAATGCCTGCAGCAGCGCCGCCGCACATCATGGGCTCTGATGTTCCTCTCTCTCCTCCAATCACAGCACTGAGTCTCTGCCCAGCATCTCTTGCTCTGCCTGCCCACTGTGTGGATGCACCAAGGGATGTAAGCCTAACTATTTTCCTCTTTCATGTTCTCTTTCTCTGCCTGACATGGAAAAACAAAAACTTTTTAAGCAGCATGTAACCGGTTGGATTCTCTGATGAATCTCTGCATCTGTTGCGTAAGTAAGGCTTGCAAACAGAAGGTTGTACTGTATGACATACGACTGACTAAGCACTAAGCACTTATCAATAGCAGAATATTTGTTTATGTTTCTATAAAGCTGCTGTCTGTTCACCAGTCTGACTTGCATGTGTTACAGAGGGAGAGAGCGCCCCCTGCCTGCCGTTACCCGCTGGTGATTCCTCTCCACCGACACCTGCTCCTGTTCCACAGGGTACACAAAACACTCAGACAGCAATCTATCATTGAGTGTGGGAGAGAAACTCCCTCTGGAGGGAACACAGGGATTGTAGCCTTTGCAGACCATTTACATGCACTAAAACCTATAGAACACTACAGGAGAGGGAAAACCCCAAAAGGATCTACTCTACTGTGAATTATTATCATTACTATTATGGTTTCACTTTTGGTGTTGTAAATGCAATACAGTATACATCAGCATAAGACAATATTTTAGGCCAAAATGAATCTTTTATATGAGTTCATTTCAATCAATTTGAAAGAAGTAAGCTGTTCTTTTGTCCTCCAGGTTCGCCTGCCACAGGTGACGAGTGAGTCCTACCTGCTGGTGTGTGCCAAAGGGGGGGAGCTCCAAGCATGGCAGAGAACCTGTTACACTGAGCTCTCCTGAATGCATTTTCAAGGTGGCATATAATGACTTCTCCTAATATAACAAGACAAAGGACTGAGGCCATGCTTTGCCGGAAACAGGAAAAGCAGGACTGCAAGGGGAGCTGCGGAGGGTGTCGGTACTGTACACAACTTTTAAAATTAAGTGTTCCAACTGATATGAGGAGGAAGGGGGCTCAGACTGCTGGGAGCTAATGAGGAAGAAATGATGATGACATCTTCTGACCTACCTTGCCTGCTTACCAGATGGACAGTCATGATAGAGATGCACTGAGTTTTGAGCACAGTGAGAAAAACACTCACTTTAATGTGTGACAATGACAATCAGGTTTCAGTGACACACAGAGGGTTAGAATCTCTTTTGTATCATGTATCTGCACCTTTGGGTGTTTTGGTCTTGTGTTGCACTCCTATAGGCATGTTTTTGCTGTGCCTGTATTTATATTCAAGGGTTACTAATAATGACCCAGATATATTTGTATATTAACTTGGGCCATACCATCATAGGCTCTGAACGTGTAAAGGGTGTGCTGCATAGATACAGGCAAACATTATGGAGGATTGAGATTAATCATTTCACTATTACAATTTATCTCTCTATACAATTGTCTAAGTGGCTATTTCAAAGCCCTCCACACATTGCCAGAATTATAATTATGATTATAGTTGAACGTGTTTGAATTTGTTTGGTGTCAATTTGTAAAATTTGAGAAATAACCAGAATCAGGCTTAAAAGCCTATGATGTATAATTTGTGTTTTATTGAAGAATGTGAGCTTGTCCTCAGGTGGATGTGAACCCCTACATTTCCCTTGTTCTCTCTACATCCCCAACCTTTACAGTGACAGTGACCTTCAATTCTGCCATTAAAACATTTAAAAGTTGTATTGAAAACAAAACATGAACTCAAATTTGAAACATTGATGTTCTTACACTTGCATTCAAAAAGGTTGTATTTACACTGAAAAATGAATGGCACTGAAACAATTAAATACTGTCTTTAAACATTATTGTATGTTTTATAATTAATTATTTAAGCATTCTGATACGTTTTTTCAATTCCAATATTTTTGTATAAGCCCTGGGAGAGGATGTTAGGATAGGATCACAATTTTTGTGGTAAAAGTAAAGGAAAAAGGATGGGATACAGATATTGCCCCCATGATATTAATTCAATTGCTGGTGTTTATTTCTTACAGACATAGAAACCTCCTTAAGTTTATTATTGAGCAAAAATGTGTTAACGTTTCACCAAATATGTTTCCATGAAGTGAATTAACAACAGGAAGTTTAACCGGTTACACATGTCACATGACTTCTTCTTCTGTAGTTTTACCTATAGACTGTAGTTATTGGGTAAAGCAGTGATGGAAGAAGTACTCAGATGTTTTACTTGAGTAAAAATAGCAATACTATAACAAATATTCTGTTACAAGTAAAAGTACTGATTTCAAAATCGTACTCAGGAAGAACTACAAAAGTATTGGCATCAAAATATAATTCAGGTACCAAAAGTAAATGTTATGCGTAATGGCCCATTTCAGAATTGTATATTTTATATTACTGGGTTGTGATTATTGATGTGCTAGTGTGTTTGTCAGCTAATGTTAAGTGCTTTATTTAAAGCTGCTGGATATTTTTGCCTCTTTTAACCTCTATGTTGACACAGGGAGAAAATTACTTCTTTATTAATTAATAATGGCCAAATATAATAGTCAAGCACCTCAGAATATAGTGCATTTTGTGTTTTAGACACGGGATAAATTAGATGTTAAATGCTGCAGAGTTTTACCTGTGTTCATTTTTAGAAAAGTGTACAACGACCACACTGCTGTATCATGTTCATTTTCATCTTGACTATAATGTTATTTACATCCTTTTTTAGCCCTGTGTGGCCCTCAATGTCAGTGCTCCCCACACACTGCCCTTTATTTTATAAGAATATAAAACATTTCCTTTAGTGAAGGTAAATAAAGAGTGTTAGAGATTTAGGCTGTCTCGTTATTTGAAACATTCTCCTTGTCCACTGCTATTATAGAAGACACCTTTCTCTATAACACAAATACACTGTTGGTGCCCAGACTAGTCAAACACACTCAGCTAAACACCGCCATCTAGCGGGTAAGGGAAATCATTACATCTTCAGAAAGACTCCCGGAGTTTAAAGGTCCCAGGGACTGGAAAACACATCGACTATGCTCTCAGTAAACACGAATGTCATTCTAGGCATAGCCTATTTTTATTAGATTATTAACAAAAATCGCGAGAAAACATTTGAACAGGCCCAGCCGAAATTACATTGGCCCACCCAGGCACCCACAATTGAAATCCTGGCGCCGCGGCTGCCACGGCCTGTCGTGAGCTATTGCTTAAATATAATAGCTCATAATGATACAAACATTCCAAATGTGTTTATTTCAATGCAACATTTCCTTTTTCGAAACAGTAATGAGGTAAATGAGATATTCCCTTCATCTGGCTTCATCCTTCAGTAAGGAGGACTACACTTCCCATGGTCCTTCAGAAGTCGGAGCTTGCGCAATATGTTTTGCAAATTTGCACGGCCCTGGCTGCTGGCAGTGAATGTTTAGTGTTGATGTTTTCACATTAAGGGGCAAGAGAAAGAATACCCGAAGTTAATAATACCGCAGGCTGGTCGCATGAGGTAAGGAATACGCCGCGGTTAGCTGTGTGCTCGGTGTGACTTTAGCCGCTGGTTAGGGAGTTGTCTTGGAAAAAAACACACAGTTACATTAGTTGTTAAGCGTTAACAGTAACTGTTAGCTAGCAACACAGACAGGGGAGCTAGCAGAGCACTAAACCAAGCGAAAGTCAATGAATATGATACAAGGGGCATCATGCTCACCAGACTAGCTACATGACAAAGGGTTTTCATTAATTTAAAAAAACGTGATGGCTTTGGAGCAAACCAGAGACAGCCAGCTAACCCTGACTGCCTGCTATCACCCATGAGCTAGCGTTAACCCACGAAGCCATTGCTAACGTTAACTTACGTGTACAGTCATGTTACCGAAAGACGCTGTCTGAATTAACGGTTGAATTTAACCGTGTTAGAGACGTGTGTTATTGACCAAGACCAAGTCTGTTTGAGAAGTAATTTAAGTGACTTTTCTGATTATAATGCATAAATCAAAAGACAGAAGTTAACAAGATATTAATGTTAGCTATGCTTTCTTAATTTCAATAATAACATCAATTATTAAACCTGTAGGCCCTATGTAGTGGGAAACTAGTTTGTATCCTGTTTGTCTCTTTTTAATTTATATTTAATATTAAAGGGCAACAAAAACTATTCTTAGTATTAAAACAACGTTATAATGTTCAGAACAAAGAACACGCTTTTATTAAAACTAGGGCTGGGGGATATGAAAATCCAATATCACCATATAATTGATCAAATACCTTGATATCGATATTGTATACATTTCACAAAACATTTCATCTTACACACTTACTTTTCTGTCATCAGTTATGTGGATATATATATATATATATATATATAATGGCTCAAGGAAAGTAATAAAACCAAAAGGCTAACACATATTCAAATATATTTGGGAAAAGGTTTTATACCACTGTTTATCATTGACAAGAATGTGTTTTGTGTATTCATGTAATACTTTCCTTTGAAGTAAATTAAAAGCTATGTAATAATGGAAAGTTAAAATGTAATGTCTGCACATGGAAAAACTGAAAATAAGAAATGCAAGGTTGCTATTGATAAAAAGACAAGTGATTAGTTTGCATGAATATGCTAAATCCTGCTAATGCTGTTGGATAAAGTTGACCTTGGTCGGGAAACTAAGTAAACAAAGCTGCCTTTATATAATATTAAAAACAAATGCACTATGTTCATGATCTAGAAACTGTATTTCCAAGCATACCAAAGTGAGTCTTCTGATGGTTATATCTACATTCTTTTAAGGTTATTGTACATTCCTAGAAAAGTTCCAACCGCTAACTATTGTCCTAATCTTTGTCTTGGTTTTGGGATGTTGCAGGTTACTGGGTGAGCTCGTCCCTGCCATGAGAGCTGACCACCAAGTCACCAGCCCCCCCTCCTTCTGCAGTTGATGGATCTGCAGCTGGTCCAGAGATGACAGACAGCGTCAGGGCCTTCCTCCGCAATGTTGCGACGGTCAGAAGAGACACACACACACACACACACACACACACACACACACACACACACACACACACACACACACACACACACACACACACACACACACACACACTCTGTACATAAGCCATGAAACAAAGCACAAGGGTTTAATTTATTTACAAGGATACAGATGCATGAAAAAAAAATGTATTCACTTGCAAATGTAATGTAAAAAGATGATCAAAATTGATGTTTTTGGTTTAAAAGTGGTGTTCGAAACATTTAAGTCAAGAAAACATGTGGTGCACATCCAGAACTGGAGAGCAGCACAATAAATGCAACCTTTGCATGTTTTAAGATCCATTTATACAATAACGGCTACCTTAATAAAGACTAAAGTGTCACATACATTGTCTACAAAAAGGGTCAGACATATCCTATGAACATGCAGAGATTATAGTACGCCTTTCACCAGGACGAGCAAGGACTTGTTTTTTTCCCTTGAACTTTATCATTGTGTACAATCAGCTTTAAAGTCAGTATGTCCCAAAGAGTCCAAAGGTAATGTTTATTTTTTAAATAATTAAAGATATATATTTTATTATCATTAATCATGTCTCAGACCTTTTAGAGCCTTCCTATAAAACCCCAAAATGTTCAATATAAATATAATTAAATTGCGTATAAGAATAAATAAGAAATAGTTAAATAATACAAAAATTATATTAGAACTCAACTCACAATTATGACATTTTTTATTTGTATCACTGTATTTTTTATATGCACATTAAACTACAGTAATGTTGAATAGAGCAACCAGAGACTCTGAATAATCCAGTTTACATTAGCTGCTTCTGTTAAAACTTTATCTTAGTCTTAATTTGTTTAATTAATAACAGGAGACTTCAGTGTTGGAGCAGCAGCCTCTTGGGTTTTTCAACTTTTGTATCAGATTTAGCCTGAGCCTAAAAGAGCTTCAGTTACTTCTTCTGCCCTTCAAACTGGCAGAAGAAACAAAGTGTTGTTTTAGTGGCACAGAGTGAGACATTAACATCATTTTAGATAACTGCATTTTAGTAAAAACACCTTTTGAACCATCAAGTCTTAAATATTGTTATGGGATGTGCCCTCAAAAACCATTATCAATGTAATTCTTGTGTTTAACAGGCACTAATTGAGGTATAGCAAAGCTCCATTACGGCTATTTTTCCAGTTATAAACAAATACCGTGTAACACCACTGTGACTGTGTATTCTTTTTCCATCTGGTTGTCTAGGGGATCAAGGACTCCATATTGGGGATTGGAACAATCTCCAAGCTGGATGCCCGCATCCAGCAGAAAAGAGAGGAGCAGCGGAGGAGAAGGGCCAGTGGGGCCCTGGCACAGAGACGGGCCCAGAGCGAGGAGCGCAAACCCGACAAGTAAGACATATAAAAGCTGCACATTTGGTTGCCATGCTATTGATTTTGTTACTAAGCCAGAGTGACATATGCTCGTGGATATTTTATTGTGCCTGGATAAGTCATTGTTGTTTATAGGATTTATTACGATACCATACGATACAATACGATAATACTTAAATTAATTAGCCGCTCTTAAGTTCTAAAATAGCTGGATGTTGGGAGTTGCAACGTGACATGCACTTTTCCCACAACCTCCAGCGGTCAATAACCCATATTTACCTTAAGCCATCACACGGTTTGTTTTTCTGGTGCTCTTAGCAAAAACACACTCTATAAAGATGAGAAATGTAAAGTAGAGTAGAAAGTAGGATTTTATAAAGGCTTAAGAGTTTATATAGCAGCAGAGAGAAAAAAACTTAAGATGAAGAGGTAGGAGAAATATTCTCCAAACGCTACTTTTAAAAAAAAATGATGGTTTGA